GGGAGCAAATTTATCTTTTAAAAATATTTTTAGGAATGGCAAATTTTGCATGCATAATTGTTTACATGGCTGCTGTTTCTAAAGAAGTAGGCAATAAAATTTATGCTGCTTCCAAAATGGATGACCCACTTTTTCATTACTCATATGGATATTCCTTCATTATGCTTAAAGTAACTTTTTGAACGTTTAAATCTTTTTCCATAAATTGGAAATTTTAATATTCATGGTTTGAAAGTATAAAAGGATAGATAATTCCTTCTTCAGATTTCATTTTTGGGAAATGAGTTTGCTGCACTATTTTCTCTAGTTGTTTATATGGCTAAACAAGATGAACGTATATTTAACAAATATCACATAAGGTGTTTTTTTTTTTTAATTTTTAAAGTTTTATTAAATTTTATACATGCTACATTCACAATTTTAAAACTTCAAAACATATCTTTAAATTTTAATTTTTTGACCAGTGATTTTGAAGATTATACCTCTAATTTGTGAAAGTTTGTCAATTTTCAGATCGTTGATAAATAAAATGGATGAAACAAATTTCCTGAAAAGATGTCATTGTCGATATCATACAAAGTATCATCGATCAAGGTGCTGTCAAAATAAGCTAATCTTTTCGTTTCTATAGAACAATTTTTATATGAATTTCACTTTTAACCATTCAAATACAACAAACTTCAAAATAGATTAAGCTCTCTGAATGGGGCTTCTCGGATAATTGAGTCAAAATTCTGTCTAAACTTCCGTTCAGTACAAACAATTTATCGGAAAGTCCGGCAAAGTCACAAGTCCAGAAAATTCCAGGATTGCATCAGACTTTTTGAACAGTGAATATGCAGCGATTAGAAAATCAATTGCTATTATCGATGCATCAGAAGAAAAAAGTGTACATTATTTGAAACTTGGATGAGGATATTTTTCGTAACTTATGATTTAGTTGTATTTTTTAAATTCAACTACAGCGTGTCATCTGCTTACTTTTATTTTAAACGAAAACAATCATCAAAACGAAATAAATTCTAACAAAATATACAAATTTAACAGGAAAAAGAAAACTACATTGAAAATAGCATTCTTTTTTTTAAAATTAGTTTGAAGGAAAACCATTTTCGAAATAACTTTTGAAGATTTGGATTGATGTAATTTATTTAGATTTTTTTTCGTTAATGCATTTTCCGATAAACAGAAGTGATTTATGAAGAAAATTGACAATCATGTCCATCTTGGTATGTTAGTCAATTTCTGATATGCTTGGAATTTAAATCATGGATTTCAATAAAAATTGATTCAATGCTATTTTCCAACCCATTTTCGAGTTTCAGTATTTTTCGAATTCTAACCGATGTCTAACCGATGTATACATTATTTCAACAAATTATAATGGAAGACATTATGGAAGAATAACCACGACATTTAAAATTTATACTAATCAATTGAGTTTGAAAAAAAGCATTAGAATAAAATATCATTAGCTATTAATTCATCTTCAAGGAAAAAAATACAGTTGGCATAAGTATATGTAACCAGTAGCATTTACGGTTTTGGTTTCAATGGAAAATGTGTTGGCGATGATTGGCTTTTTGGAAATTTCATGCCGCCTTTACTTATATCACTTGTTCGACGTCCTGCAGCAACGATCGAGAAAACACATAAAATTGCATAACAGATCTGATCAGCCTAAAATAGATTAAAATCTATTAGTTTTCTATATAACGAACAAGAAAACTAGATATATGCAAATGCAACATACAATTTACCAGATGTAACATACATAGCATCAAGAGTTCAAGTAATGTCCAGAAATAGATTGGTACGATAAACACACTGGTTAACAACAACGACTTCCTTTTATAGGATTCATAATTAATCAAATTCTGCCAAATTGTTCGCTATTATGGTAGCAACAGTTGAATCGTTTGAAAAATTATCGTTGCACGTTGAATGTATGCATGAAATTGATTCTGATGCAGCATTTGCATCAATCACGTCAGTTTCTTGCTTATTTAATGGTTGTTCTGTGTAGCGTATGGAAAACACACGATGTAATGACCATGCAATATCGGACGCCTGAATTAACGATTACAACTATGACACTCATGCAAACAACAATAACAACAATAATAATAATAACTTCAAAACAATTTTTCATATATTTTTCGATTTTTTCCTGTTTCTTCTCACCAGTATAAATTACATTTTAAATTAAATAACTAAACGGCTAGTCTTTTTTAAAACTAATCATAGCCATGCACTCCTCTTAATCCGTCTTTTAGAGTGAAAGATTTAAACTTGATAGCTATATTCGTCAGTCAACAGATAAAAAGGAATGAAATTAAAATTCAAGTGAAATCAAACAAATAATAACATAGACAATCATGCAACAAGCAATAAACTGCTATCACTAAAATATACAAATATATTAATAATGTAATGAAAATCCTAACTAAAAGTATTCTATACAACAAGAAAGAAAAAACATCGCACCACGAACTGTTAGTTAGAGGAAATAAGTTGGACTTTCAAATTTTCATATTCAAATCTTACCATTTGCGATAAATAACGCCTTTGTATCAGTTCATTCTTTTTGCGATCTGTAATGCATGATGAACATTTATTGTTGCATTTATATTGATGAAACTTCATATCATATTTCTGCTTAAAATTTCTAATGGTCCGAAACTATCACTTAAGCTATTAGAAAAAACTTAAAACGATAGTAATTCACTCAGCGAAGAAACTTTAAAAAATAAACGTTGTAAAATGAGAAAAAAATCAAAATTAAGCAAATTTAAAATATAAGTTTCAAATATTTTTGAATTCTTTGTGCAAAAATCATAAATTCAAATAAGCAGAAAAAGAAAACAAAAATTAGGGAACATTTTTTTTTGAAAATGACTTACCATATTCTTCAAGAACAAATACATTTCCACCAAAGGTATTGCATTTTTTAATATTGCTCAATTCAACGAAATGCTGAAAGCGATTCAAGGGAATAGCATTTTTCAATATACTATATAATTCGTTAAAAGTTTTAAAACTTCGAAACAGAAAAACCGAGTATTAATGGTAGCATTACCTGTCTTTCTTCGAAAAGCAATGTTATACCATCTATTCGCACTTGCAATAATCCACCTTGATTTGATTCCATGTCCTGAACCGGAAATTCGCCACCTAAATCTCGTCCTGATAGTGTAACTTTCCCACGTATTGCAGCTCGTTCCATCGCTTCTTTCATTGCAGTGTACAGTTCGCGACACTGCAATTTTGAAAAAAATATATATAAGACAATTTACTTCCAAGATGTTTCTGTTTAACTAAAAGGTCTAGATTTCTTGGTCCGTAAAGTTGAAGAAGAGGACGTCTGTGAATAAAACACGTAAGCACAACCTTTCTTGTGTAAAACTTATGCATATGCACTTTTCCTTCATGTCGTCGCCATAAGCATAAAACACGTGTTTTGGGAGAATATGTCATATTGACTATACGCTCATACCACCATCGTTCTGTGATAGCGCCTGTTACTGCTCGAAGCACTACTGCATCATCACATACCTTAAAAAGTATCATAAAATTTGAAAATTGCAAACCATCAATATGTTATTTCTAAACAAGAATTTCAAAAAGAAAAAAGCCGAAGCCAAAATTAAGATAAATTATCCTTGGAAAGCTGAAAAAAATAGTTATAATTATGTAAGCAGAATTTCAACACTTTGTTTTGAAATCTAAATCTAAGATTGAAAAAGATTTGAGTTTAACTCTGATTTACCTCTACAAACATCAATGGATCTTGCGCTGTAGCTCCTCCATGAACAGTAAACGATTGTTTTTGAATAAGACGACTTCCAAGCGGTCTCAACGGTATCCCATTACTTTGCTAAAAGTAGATGCTTCCACGGCAGTCAAACAAGATAAATTGATAAGAAGTTGCGAATTTAAGAGCATAGTCAGGAAAGTTAAAACATTCAAACAAACATGTACTTTTAGGATCACCACTCTCTCGAATGGTCAAACGGAAAACTTCCTAAAGCAATTCAAGAAGCCGATCACTTATTCTTTAAGTTGTGAGTCATTAAATTGATGACGAAGCAGAGCGATAAGAAAAAATGAGAACATAATATCAAATACTGACAGTTTTTGGAAGATCATCCAAAAGTTGATTGATCGTTTTTGAATAAACCAAACCAATATGAGCTTTGCCTAACAACCGTCTTATTTTCTGAAATTTAATCCAAATTTCAATTTATAGACATTTCGAAAACTTTATAAGTAGTATACTGATTTATCAGATTAACCCAAAACTATCTGGTCGTTTAATGCAATGCATTTTTTATTGTGGCAGCACGACCGAACGTCGGTTATTACTTGCATCATTCGACCTCCTGCAAAGAGGCTTACGATACGAAGCATTAAACCGTTCCGTTTTAATTTCATCCTTTAATTAAATTGCGCAAAGCCCATAAAATTTGAAAAAAATTCAATGCAAAGAAAATAATAGTTTTGATTAAACAGATAATGACGAAAAAAGAAAAAAATTCGTTCTAAAATTAATTGATTATTTGTGATTTATTTGTTGATTAATTGCAAATAATAAAAAACCTTCTTTTTTCAAATTTAAAATATGTAGAAATATATCAGAAGAACAAATTATGACCTGTTGAACAGTTCGTTGACCTCCACCGCACATAATCATATAGGATGTTAAATTATGTAGTAATGTAGACAAGAGATGATCCTCGTCTAACTCCAAACGACGCTTTTCAGATTCTGACAAACTACAATATCTATCAATCATTTCACATGGTTCTTGATCCATTCCTATAATATCGCGTTCCTGCGCCACCACATCGAAAAATGCTTTTTCCCAAAAATCCATCTTTTGCCATAACGGGTTCGGCGAAGACACTGAATAAACATTTGTATAATTAATGATATTTCCCAAAATACTGAAAAAATTTATATCAGAATCATCCGATTTTCTTTTTTTTTTAGTAAATTAAGTTCACTGATACGATGTGAGAGTGAACAATATACAACTGTGATGATGTCACCATAAACCATTACAACCATAACTAATTGTCCTGAAATATGCTTCAGTATGCTTAGAAAATTAAACTCTCCGGAATATGGTAAAGTATCCAAGTGGCATTTGATGGTATTAGAAACACAACTTCATATAAAACAGAAATTAAAATTGAATCGAACAAGTCAAATGGATTAAAATGAGATGATTAGAATTAAATCAAAACATCACATATCAAGTCCTGATAAATGAAGTGCCGAATTGGTTTTACATCAGATGAAATACGTGATGAAGTTGTTGAATCGAATGACAAACTATCCGGTGGGTGTAAATGAAGACAAGATTTCTAAAATAAAAGAACACGATTATATTTAATTTGCAGTGGAAGCTGTAATTTTGGGAATAAAATAAATGTATCTTTGACTTCCAACTAAAAGACTGAAATTTGAATTTGGTTATAAAGAAAAAATTATTTTATTTTGATCGAGAAATTAATCTGATAACAGAAACAAAAAGAACATTAAACGTTAAGCATTTTCAAATATTCTCAAAAGGTACGAAAATACAGTAATATGATCAGCTATGTTTACAAACAAGCTTACAATAGTTGAACTGAATGATGAATGTCGAGATGTAGTTGCACTTGTTTCTATTTTACTATCCGGATTTAGGTTTAATTCGAAATTTTTGGTGTCAGGTAAAGTAATATTTGCCTTCGCTACTTTCTCCAAACTTTTTGGCTGGATATTGGGTTTTGAAAGTGACTGCATATCATCACATGTGCTTTGACGAACTACCGGTCGTGGTGGAAGTGGTGGTGGTGGACCAGTAGCTGAAAAAAGAATGATAACAAAGGATAAATTTAATACAACAATGACTATATTAATTAACCACTTTGTACGAAGATTATAGAGAAAAATCATCGGAGTATCTTTTACTCCACGTTCAGATATTTTAGTGATTTTCTTTCGTAATGATGAATGTTTGTGTATTCCACATGTACAACATTAATGACGTTGATTTTTCAAATCTTTGAAATCCTAAATCAATAAAGGGTTGATTATCAATCAAGGAAAATAACTTAAAATTAAAAAAATGTTGAATTTTGTTCAACAACTTACGTAATACAATTCCATGTGCTTCATGAGAAATACGCGGTGGAATAGGTGGCTTAGGAGCTTGACTCGCAGGTGATGGCATCGATGGTGGTAGTGGGATCGGCATTGGCAGTGAACGTGCTGGTGACGAAATGTCATGCTGTTGTCGCTGTACATCATATGACGATGAGGATGGAGTATTAAACTGAAGATAAAAAAGTACTATGTTTAAATTTCATGAAAATTTAAATGTTGATCATAGAACCATTTGAGATTTATAAATCATTTTATACCTCTCACTAACTTGTCAAAGTTTCGCTGTTAGAACATGATAAGATACAATTGGAAATAAGAAAGAAAAAGACTTTATAATAAAATCTAAACGTAAATTTGATATCATCTTTGAATTTTCTGAACAGAAGATAATTTCTACCAAGCTTCCAGATGCGCTTGGTGGTGATGTTACTTCGGTCTCTTTTGTCCAGTAATGAGAATGGGCTATTTCAAGTATATGGAATAATGAAGCAAGGCCATTAGAACCAGATGAGTTATATGAATACTCCAGACCAGCAATGCATGTTTGTAAAGCTTTTAAATACCCCTTGTACTGATTTCGAGTTAGTTGCTGAAAATTTTTGCAAATAATATAACAAAAATTCATTTCTTACAAAATTACTTCAGTCATAATTCATAACCATTCGATGTTACAATATGTATTTTATCGCATTATATGTCGTAAAAATTTTCAACTTTCTATTTTGATTACATTAAAAAAACAAAAAAGAAAAAAATTTTGACAGTTTTATTGACCATATCTTGCATGAAGTCGTCTTCAAAATGTTGCACATCAAGACCAAGGTTTAATTTGGAACAAACAAGTTGCCTCAAACTTTCATCTTCCATTAATCGTTTCAATTTCGGATATGTGAAAACGCCAACTCCCTGACCAGCTAGGATTTGATCACATATTTCGCGAACAATTTGTTGATTTTTACTAAATAATTCGTTAAATTAACATTTGCGGAATAAAAGAAAACAAAGCATCAAAATCAAATGGAGGATAATTATCGAATACTCGAGCATTATAACCATCAAATTACTTCAACTATGATGTTTAAGTTAAAAATTATGCTAAATAACGGAAATTTCAAAAAAAATGTCATGTTAATAAATTTGCAGAAGCATTACGCAAACCGCGCGGATACTTCACAGTAAGAACTAAATGATTGTATTTTTTCAGCACTTTAATTATGGATGGATTAAATGAAAAGTTTAATGCCTTTGATAAAAGGATTCTATCTCGCATATAATTGTACTATCATTTAACTTAAACAAAATACTTTTTCTTTTTAACCAAAATACAAAATACTAACACAAATATTTTGCAAATACAAAATTAATTGAAAATGAAAATTAACCTTTGCTGTGCAGCTGCATTAGTGTTTCTATTGCCAATCATGCTACTTTTTGTCCTTACAAGATGCTGGCTTTGCTCTACTCCATTTGCTGCAGCCAAAGCAATCGGACGAACAGCTTTATCTCGTAGAGCCTGAGCTTTAGGAGCTGTACGATGTAAAACCTGAAATAAAAGGAAGAAATGCTGTAATGATTAGAAATGATCCTCCATTTTTTCCATTAACGACAATATTTATATGAAATTCAAAATGAAATAAATTTTCGTAATGTTATAATTTATTCTTTTGATCAATTATTATATATCATTTTAGAAAGAAGAATGAATAGAATAATGAACCTGATTTAACATGTCATGACTTCTCTCCGCATATCCGTTAAGTGCATTCATGAATTGTGGTCCAAGAACTTTTTCACCTGAATCTGCTAAGTGTGCCAAACCCTGTAAGTATATATATATATATATATATAATTTCTCCAAGATTCAAGTGGTCTGTAAACCATATGGAATTTTGAAGTATCAATATTTGCACGAATGAATTACCAACCTTAATACCAGCTTTTAATGGTGGTGTCTTGTTGGTTGTCGTACTGGTTGAACTTCCAGATCGTGATGATAGTGTACGAGATGCTGAGAATTGACGATCGTTTACTGGAGTAGATTCACTTGAAGGATGGAAGAAGAAGTCACCCTTAATGAATTAAAAAAATTTTAATTGAACACAAAATGTGCATAATGTGATAAATTCAAATGTACTTATATCGATCAACATTCAGAATTTACCCTGCTATCTGATTTTAATGCTAAATTTTCGGCAAGCCTTGCAAAATCGGCCTCACTATCCAGTGCTGACGTCGAAATTGATGAAGATGGAGTAGATCTGAAAAAGTCATCAAATAATTTGAAGTCAGTGATAACTTCGTGAAAATTTGTTATACCCAACGAAATCTAATAAGAATTTAGCAAGCAGGAAATTTAAAATAGCAAATTTAACTTACTGGCCACTACTTGTCGAACTACCAACCGAGTGTACACTTTCACTTCTCGGAATAGCTAATGTCAATGGCTCCTTATAAACATCGTCTACCTCTCCAAGTGGTTTTGCTGCTCCTGAAAATGAAATAAAAAGTTCACAGTTTCAAAATCTCCCAAGATAAACTTGCTCTAGACTTTAAAAAATTCAGAAAAAGACAGAATATCAGATTGAACTTTGAATTAAATTATCCACTAGCTAAATGATGAAAAGATGGAATTTAATCATACCGATAGATACATCGGCTTGATCAGGAATATCGAACATAAGATCATCAATACTGGAAAAACTTTCACCATCAGTATTTCCAGCATCGCTTACTTCATCACCATTTGAATCTTTAACAAAGAATACTGTCCACATGAAAATAAGTAATTTTTCATCAGTTATTTCATATAAATAACAATTACATTAATTAGTTTAGTGATGAACAATGATTAAAAGATCCATTTATGCTTTTATTTAGTGGATAATGTAAAAAAATTTAAAATTAATGAAAATATTACCTGTCACACTGTTTTGTCGTTCGCTTGCAACTTTTTGCCATGCATCAACAAGCGCTGAATCGTTCGAATATACCTGAAAAATCACTTCGACCTTTTCATCTCTTCTTAGCACTATTCTCCTACCATTCTTCCGATATATCTCATTCAGAGTTATATCTTTTTGTCCATGTATTACTTCAGTATCCATGAAAATCATTTTTAAATCAGTTTAGAAAAAAAAAATCTCTTTTTGTTTTCTTTAATATCTCCTAATCAATTAATCAAAAGTAAATGTTTGTAGGATTTTTTTTAAGAATAAAAAAGAAATACGGTAAGTAACAAACGGTGAAATGGATAGGCATCAGTGACTCGTTGAACCATTTCCCCTTATCACCAATTTGTTTTGGATCATCCGTTCCCGCCTGTACTCGTACGTATGTTTCGTTATGTGGACATAAGGAACATTCGGCAAAATATTCCACAGCCTGGGTTCTAAATAAATTACTTGAAAAAAAAGAATAAGTAAACAAATTCCTTCGTAAAATTTATGACAAGAAAAAAGAATCGGTCGAAAGAAAATGCTTTGAGAATTCAGAATTTTACGAGGAAAAAGGACGCGATTTTTCCTGGTGAATTTCATAAAACTGGACTGGATTTTCGAAAATTCGTCAGAAAGTCATTAATGACTGTGATATTATACTAACTTGCAAAGTTCAGCAATAAATCGTGTGAACTGCGGACGGCTACGTAGGAAAGATTCCGTTTGAAGCGCAACAACTGGTCGTGGATAGAGACGCAGAGTACGTGTATGCTCACAGAAATTTGCAAATACGTTCGCACTATTAAAAAAGCGAATCTGAAAATAAAATAAGCACCGAAACGATTTGCAAAAATATTTTTACATTAGCAGTGATGGCTAACAATAACAAACCATAGCAACACGGACAGCAATATCAACAACGTCACTATCCAATGTGTAATCCTTTTCAACAGTTTCATCATTTGATACATTTGGCAATAATTTATTATTTGGCAATAATTTGTCCAATGATTTCCGTAAACTATTCTGAAAAACATTTTTATAAAAATCACTACTATTATCAAACTTAATTATCAACAAACATCTTAAAAGATATGAAATGAAATTCAATATTAGTAATAACCTTTAATTCAGTGCAATCTGGTTCCGGCATATCAGGAATACTGATATCATCCGGTATCAGTAACTGATTCATATCAAGATCGACAACAATAACATCATTTGGTATATCAATAGCTTTATGAGCAAAAAATGATGCTGGTACCCCGATTACGAATGGTGTCGGTGCATATAATAACTAAAACA